CCTCCCTTAATGTCATAAACTAAGTTTGACACCCGGGGCCACGCCATAGCTCAAGAGGTTAGTCACTGGCTTCCCACTGCGGTGGCCTGGGTTTGATCCCCGGTCTGGTCAAGTGGGATTTGTGGTGGACAAAGTGGTGCTGGGGCAGGTTTTCTCTTGAGTATTTCCGTTTCCCCTGCCAATCTTCATTCCACCAATTGCTCCAAAATCACCCTTACCCATCATCTGGGGCTGGTACAGTAGGCCAGAAGTGGCTGCAGTACAAGGGACTTAGTCCCACCCTACTAGCAACAAAAAAGAAGTTTGACACCTATACAGAACCAGAGGCAAAATTATAGTTTTGTATATTCTAATTTTTATGTTTTTGGGCAGTAGACGAGAAGACAGAAGGTTCTGGACTGAATGGTAGCAAGCAATACCCAAGTTCAGTGTCCTCTTTATTTCCTCCTGAATCGGGTTTTGATTTATCATCATTCCCAAATATCTGAACTGTGCCAGATTTTGAAAACGTCTGTTACCTATCTTTATTATGTATTACAATTTAATTTCTAAATATTTAAAGAATGTTTTTAGTTTCCACATCACATAAATCCATGTAGGTGGAAATACAGTTGAGTGTATTGAAAATATATTTGCTGTCCAGGGAGAAGAAATGTGAATCTTTAAATTCATGAGACATGTGCTGAATGAGCTGCTCTTCTTGTGGAATATATGTAAATCATTTCTGATGTCCAGAAACTTAATATGCATTTCTTCTTACACCATAATTCTTGCATGCTGTACTGCTATATAGATGTGGTGATTGTTGTTTTAATATTCTGTACATAATATTAGTTTTTGCATTTGAGTGTCTTTACTGCCATTATTCCATGTAGTATAGAGCAGAGATGAAGTTTATTCTGGAAAATGTTGTAAGTATCTGGGCACAGTATTACACTGTGTGATGTACTAATGTACATGCAGTATTGATATAGCTTTCACATCACCTTTCACTCATGCCTGGCATGTAGCTGTTCACTGTTGTGATTATTTGGATCATATTAGATTGCCATAAACCCTTGTTATGATACAATTATTGTCAAGTTCATAATCATGCATCTTTGCCAGTATTAAAATGGGCTGCTTTTGAGACAGAAAATGTTATGAAATTTGACTCCTTTTTTGTTTCCTCCTTGCCTTTTTGGTTTAAAAGAAATTGTACCTCATGTTTTTGTGCATCTTGTATTGTGTGAAAAGAAAGAGGTTTCCATAATTTTTGGATCAAGCTTGTGGAAATATGTTAATCCTCTCAGTATCTTTTTTCTGTGGCTTCCCATTTGGAAGATGCAGAACAGTGTTGAATTACTTATGGATTTGAACCCAGAGTGTGAAGCTTCACTGCTCACCTCATGTAGTGCCAAGGTCAAAAATGGTGGAGCTGTACCTGCACACCCCCATATGTCTTTGTGACATGGTGCTTAATTAATTAATCACAGGGACAACTGTACCTTAATGTTGGACTCATAGAATGCATGAAGTGCTATCCTTTTGACTTTGCAGTGGTTCCTACTATTAGTATACAGTGTTTTTATGAAATCCTTAATCTGAAACAGGTCTCTCCAAGATGAATGTTTATGGTTGTGAGACTTGCTGAAACAGGTTTAAATATAAATGATTGTTACATATTAGTCCTCCTTGCTCAGGGTTTGCACATTTCAGTTCATTATTACTGCAACATATGTAACTTTCATGTTGTATAAACACAGCTTTTGGTTTTCCCTACATAGAACCTGCATACTGCATGTGACTTTACTGTTGATGTACAGGGAGATCGAGAAGTCGCACATATCAGACTAAGCAATTATATTTTGCTGGTTTAATGCACAAACTACAAGACATACAGCACTTACTGTTAATGTTTATAACCTTACATCTTAGAAATGCAAAATCAAATCATGTCTTTACAACATATACTCCAAATGGCTTCCCTGTTCAGCAATTCACACGCGAACTCTTTTTACCATGTTTTAGGCCACTTTGTGGAGCACCTGTAAACTGATACTGTTAATCACTGTTATAATGTTCCTCTTGAGGTACCTCCAAAGGAAAAAATCTGTGGGTGACAAATCGGGCAAACGCAGGGGCCACAATTCTTTCGAAATTAGACGGTCACCAAGAAACTCGCGCGAGAGCTGCATGGTTTCATTAGATTTGTGACATGGCACCGCCTTTCTGCAACCAGCACTCACATTCATCAGCTTCAAGAAGCGCAATAAACTGTGTAAAGATGTCTTGGTGCACTGGACTGTTCATTGTTGTTTCAAAGAAAATTTGGCCCACTATTCGACGATGTGATACAGCACACCACACTCCAATTTTCTGACAGTGCATGGACATTTCATGTACACGTGGATTTTCAGATGACCAAATCCTATTGTTTTGACTGTTCATGTAGCTACTAACATGAACCAGTGCTTCATCAGTGAAGAAAACCTGATCATACTCTTCAGTTCCATGGTTGCCAACAAATGTCCGAAACCATCTACAGTACACTAAGCATTTTTCTTTATCCAAGTCCTTCAATTGCTGCACGCAGCAAACATGATATGCACAAAGATGTAACTTCTTCATGGCTTTCCGAGCGCTTCCATCTGAAATCCCTGATTGAGCTGATAGTCTCCTCAGGCTTTTTGAAGGTGAACGCTGCAACATTTTCTCCATGTCAGCCAATTTAACCTCAGTCAAAATGGCCAGTCTCCTGGATCTCTTCGTATCTGAAACTGATCCACATTCCCGAAATTGTTTGATTATTCTCGTTATCATCAAATTGTTAGGAACTGCAGAATCCGGATATTCGAGACAAAACTCGTCTGTGATACATGCATAAGAACGACTGGCGAAATAATGTTCCACAATGAACATTTGTTCTTGGGAAAACGACATGTCTGTCACACAATAACCAAAACTATACTGCAGACGTCATATGACAGATACTTGACAGATGGCGTTTCTACTTGTTAGTACTCCTCAGTACCATCTAGTGGTAGGAGATATAATTATATTAACTGCAATATAATTTATAACAACTTTTACTTTGATGATCATGACTTTTCGATCTCCCTGTATATGGGTGACCATATCAACTCCCATTATATGAACTTAATGCAAACATTAGTGTCTGTTAATATCATCCTTGGGTCCATCAAATATCTGATGGCCTTGTACATTTTGTGCTTTGTTTAACATATCTGCCCTATAATACTTAATAACTGGCCACATGAAGAATTTAACTTCCAGTAGATTGTAAATTTTTAATATAGAAATTAAAAATGTTAACTAAGTTATTTTTTAAATAATACATACTAATTCCTGTTAAGAGCTGCCTGTTGCTTGAGGTGATTTAAGCAGAAGTATAATGCTCAGTGGTGAAGTCCCAGATAAGGCTATCCCATTACAGAGTCTTTCTTATAGGTAGTATGTGCTGAAATTGAATGTATCAGCCCTTGAAATATTAAAACTTCATGTAAGTTATTCTCATGAACATATTTATCTACTCGTAATATTAATTGGCATACCTATACGGTTCAAAATATAAAAGCTAATAATTCTAGTGAGATAACCTTGTTATAAGATCACTAAATAAATACCGATTTTGGTTTAGTTACATACATACCCTTTCACTCATCCATGTGATTCAAATATTACTGGCTGCCATGTATGTAGTGTTTATTTTACACAAACATCATTAAATTTGTGCCCAGTTTACATAGTTGTTCCAGTAATATGGGTTCTGACACTTGCTGGATAGTACCATGATGGACACCCCCACCCTTATTCCCATTGTGAGAGCTGCTGTATATCAGATGGCATCCTCTCCACATCATTCACCCTGAAGGTGACAGCTATAGCACACACAGCAATGTTGGTCCAACTTCAATACATGACATAGCTACAAGCTACAAGCACACGTTCACTGTTCGGTAACTTTTGCTGCAGATCACGATTTTGTATCACAGCAGTTTTTATTTTGGCAGAGCTCTCTTATGCAGTAAGTTGCTTGAATGTAGAGAGGGTGGGAGATTTAATAACTGGGACATGTTCCAGAATTAATTTGACTGAGGTTTTATAATAGAACAGTCATCATTTGTGTCATGTAGTAGGGATTTAATTTTTTTTTCAGTCTGCAGATATTATTCATTCTCCCAAAAAAAATGGTGTTGAATAAGCTTTATCGTTTAGAAGTAAGGGATTTAAAAAATCTCACAGTATTTTGGCACTGCAGCCAGTTTTGTACTTGACAGTAAGGGAATTTATGTTATACACAGTGTGAGACTAAGCCTGCTGAAATCATGTCTGCACTGTCACAGTTGTGTGGTGTGCACATGATGCGGTTAACCAGACACACATTTGGGCTTTCAAGTGGTCAGCTCACCTTTCTAAGACATAACATAAAAGATAACAACAGCAGAGTATTCTGTAGTTGCAAAATCATTAATGAGATATAACTCATGTTTTATTAAAATTGTTTGCATAAGTTGATTAGATGTTCTTCTCTATCAGCTGCATCATAATATGTTAAGTTTTTTAATTCATTATTATTCTTAAACCCTTCACCTCACCATGCGAAGACTGAACATTGTCTGCTTTAGGAATGTTTTTCATGCCATGCTTGATACTTCCAGCCCTTTATACAGTGCTAGTTGAAGGACAACTGCAGAGTGTTTCTAATATATCATACTCACTAATTTTAAATTTCAGTCTGTGTTAATTTCACATATTGTTTGAAGTTTCTAGTGTTAAGGAAAATAATGAATGATATTACTGATATGTGGAACCATATTGCAGTATATATTTGTCTTCCAAATAGCACTTTGCACCAGGCATACTCACCTCTGATGGGATCTGGATGGATAATTTTAATTTTTTATGGTTGTGTGGCCTTGTTACTACACTGATTGGCTGCTGAATGAGCTAACTTTTGGCTTGTGCTGGCATGTGGTGCTGCTGCTTTGTTCCATCAGGTGTTTTCTAGGCGCTCAAGTACTTCGAGCACAAGCTCAAACGACTCGGGAACTCCAATTGATCTCCTTGATGAACCATCCCTACCACTTGGTGCTAGTGCTGGCCTTTTTTATGCAAATGGTGCAACAGGTTACCAGGTAAAGCCAGAGACTGGCATACTTTAAGTTTTATGTCTATTGTAAATCACTGTAGTAGTTTGCTTCTTGCCCTTTGATTTCTGTTGCCATACAGAGCATTAAATATCATGTATACACCACTTATGTATAGCCTCTTGGTGGTGAGATAAGAATGTTACATAGTTTTGTCATCTTTTTCCACGAGACTGCTATACATTCATTAATATATTGTAATAAGCATGCCTGGGAAAATAATGTTGGAACTCTTAGTTCCATCCAAGAACTTTTGTACAGAATGTCATTAACTTTGTGAAATTGACCATAAAGAACTTTGTGGTTATTTTCTCGTACTGGGGCACACTTCTGTTCTCTAGTACTTGGGTCATCACTGATAGGTACCTAGCACTAATACCACAGAATCATTGCTTCATTCCATCTTAAGCATACCATTTTAAATGGCGTTCACTCACGTAAGGACAGAGAGGCCTATATTGTAGACTGCAAAGCTGAATGTCTTGTTGTGGCTTTATAGTAGGAAGAACTCTGTTACACCTTCCAAGTTTATATCTTTTAGAACTAAAGAAAAATTATTTTTTTTCTACAAAGGAGGAATTGCATATTTTAGTAGAAAGTATGGGAACAAAAAGGCCACAGTCAATCTTTAGGTCTTGTCTTAATATTTTGTTGACATTAAATATGGTTTGGATTTAGCATGCATCAACTCATAATAATGCAAGGAGATTTGGTTGTGGCATTCAGTTAAGTGTGACATTTTCTCCACAGTTTGGAAGGTGTCAGTACATTCTTTAAAGAGGGACTTCTAACACACTTATCTTCCTGTTACACTTCTTCACAGTATGTTGTTCAGTAAAATGGTTGAATGTCTAATGAGTCATATTCTTTACTGTGTAAGTAATGTACATTTGCATTACACCAACATTTCCATTCTTACAAGTGGCCAAGTTCATGCCTAAATTTAGGTATCACCTTGTAGAATAACAGAAAATTATGTTTTTGATGAAGGAAAGAATGGAATAATTTTGGGAACTTTTTGGTAATCAGTTGAGGGACTTTTGTAATAGCTTTCTAAAACCCAAATTGTACCTTTTTTTTTTGCAAGTTTTTTAACTTCTTTTTCTATCATTTTAATTTTATATGGGTTGGTCGATGAAAAGTTACAAATCCCTGCTTTCTTCTCCATATTTTATATGATCATGCAATTTGACTCAAGTGGTAATTCTTCTCACTTCTATTCAGGAGGTGCCTGGTTCTAATCTTGGCCAGAGTACTGGCTGTTCTGACCGAGGTTTTTGTTGTTTTCCTTGGTCCCATATAAATGCTGGGGTAGTACGAGAAATTAGGTTGACTGCTTTCTTCTACATTTTTTCCAGCTCATTATTCACTAGTCATCCCACCACATGACATTTTGTATTCAGAGCTGCTAATGGACTTACTAAAAAAAACCGTAAATAAGTTTACTGTACATGACCAGAACTGTCATACTGTAAGGGAATGGGAGAAATTGAAGGTACTCACTAATGCTGCAAATGATTATCACATCCAAAAGAGTGAGAGTAACTGGCAAATGAAACCTCATTTATTGTTAGAGTAAATAAAATTGCTGTTATCAGGATGTATTGGATGAAATAAATATTCACAAATCTTCTGAAAAGAGGCCACTTGTAAGATAACATAGGTAAAAGTCAACATTGAAATTAACATAGAAAAGTGTGTAACATAATTTTGTTGCAAACTCTCACACAGCCTGGCAGTAGTGGGCCGCAGCCTATTGTGCAGACAGAGAGCATGGTATACAGTGACCCTTCAACCCTAGGGGACCCAGACCTACACAGTACAACACAGGTTCCAGTGGTTGCAACAGAGACACGCAAGGTGGCACTGGAATCAGAGGATGGAAACTACAGTGCTACTGGGGAGATTGTCAGTTCCCAAACCATTAGCAGCAAAACCCGTACTGTTGAGACCATCACAGTATGTAGTTTATTTATAATAATTACATTTAAGTTGTACCTAGTTTTTAAACATTGTCATTGATGAAGTGAAGGGGAATAATGTTTCTTTCTTGTATTTAATAGTACCTGGTTCATTTCTTATCATGGACACCAATTATCCTGGCTGATTTTTTCCATGATTGTCCTCATTTCTTCCAGTTATTCTTTAATCATCCTAACATTTGATGCTACATAACCCAAGGCACTATTAAATACAGCATTAAGAAAATAAATGAATAAATAAATTTAAACACTGTCTGTATTTCACTAAATACATTTTCCACACAGCAGAATATATGAAAGTCATGTATAAAGTTAATCCATAATTCTTACACTGATTGAAAGCTGTCACACAACTTCAAATTTTACACTGTACCCAAAATCATTTCATCGCATAATTCGTACATGGTGCTGAACTGCCTGTTGTATCTTACAGTTCTTGTGGAAAGGTTGAATCCACAATTTCAATGTCTTTCCCATGATTGGACCTTTTCATGTGATCCTGAATTCTTATGTTGTACATGAATCCAGGACACATGCCAGCATGATGGATATTTTTGGATCTCTTACACATCGGCTGAGAGCTCTTTAGTTTTCTTCATGATGAAGAATTTCCATGTGGTACCCAAAAGTACATCTGAACTCTTGATGTAACTTGGAATGTTTGTGAGGTGATTGATGTCTGTCACATAATTTACATTTTTTATGTTGTGACCCAGAATTGGGTCATAATGCTGGAATAATTTTTGTGCTAAGTATTCATTGTCACAAATTTTGTGTACATTCTTGCATTTGTCTATAATGAGCATACCTTTACGATCCCTTGCACTCCCCTCCCATCCTGGCCTTGAGTATGCCACAGCAGATGTCATAAAGTGTATGCTGTATTTATGTAAGTTTTGAGGTTTCTTTGTTTATGTTGTTCGGATGGAGCCCATTCTCTACGGCCTCCATGATTATGCGATCTAGGTAACGGCAGAGTGCTGTCGCGACACAACATCAAATCAGTTGGCCTGCCCCCAAAGAAAATATATAATTTCCTCCGGCCTCTCAAGGATCACTTGGGACTGAGGACACCGGGAATTTACAGAATTCCATGCGAGTGCGGCAAGGTCTACATCGGGCAGACGGGCCGTTCTGTGAACACCAGGTTGAAAGAACATCAACGGCATTTACGATTAGAACATCCGGACAAGTCAGCCGTAGCTGAACACAGCATCGAGCTAGACCACTGTATCCAGTTTCACAAAACCGCCATAATCACCAGTAAGAGCCGTTACCTAGATCGCATAATCATGGAGGCCGTAGAGATCGAGCTCCATCCGAACAACATGAACAAAGAAACAGGGTTCAGTCTCAGCAAGTCATGGAAGCCTCTCATCTCTTCCCTCAAGAGAAATCCAACAAGCCACACCAGTTCTTCGTCATGTCATTGATGTCTGTAGCCTGTCCCCTGTAATCATGTCATTGACGTCAGTAGCCTGTCCCCAACCAACCGGTTCTTCTTGTCTACTGCAACTTCCTAGTGCTATTGACCTCAAGTTTCCTGGATTCACTGGCCGTTCCCCCCCCCTTAGCACATAACACCAATATATGGCCTTAATCGCTCTCCACTGCTCCTATTGCTCTGCTCTCCCTAACCACCACCCTGCCTACTTCGTATATAAGCAGCGCCTTTCACTTCCTATCACTACAGCTACTGCTCTCTGCATTCCAAGCCATTCAACTGCTCTGAAGATGGAGGCGATACGTTCCTCCGAAACGTCAGCCAAAACGAAGAATACACGGCCCCTAAACCCAGAAGATGACTTTCTTCATTGTATGCTGTATTGTTTAATTTGTTTTTAAAAATTTTGTTATCTTGATTGCATTTTTTATAGCATGATGGATTTTTTAATGTGTCAAACGAATATTTTTGTTTCAGTAGTATTTGTTAAAGTGCAATATTTCTGCATAAAGCTATACAGTAAATTTTTGGGACCCAGAAATATATTGTTAAATATTTCATTACTCCAGCATTCATTGAAATGATATTTCTATGTAGTTATGGTTATGATCAGGGTGTATTAGCAAGTTGGTCCCATTTTCTTTTTAGTACAAGACAGAGCGTGATGGTGTGGTTGAAACTCGAGTAGAGCAGAAGATTACGATCCAATCTGATGGTGACCCAATTGACCATGATAAGGCTTTAGCTGAAGCAATCCAAGAGGCAACAGCCATGAATCCTGACATGACAGTAGAGAAAATTGAGATCCAGCAGCAGACAGCGCCTCAGTGAAATCTCCTGTGAGTACATTGTAGCCTTCCTGTCATTTATGACATTACATGCAATTGATCTAGTGACTAGTTCACAGATTTGAGGTAGATTAACCCTTCCGTNAAAGTAATTTTCAAACTGAAATTACTGGTTTATTGTTATAAACAGAAGCAGCAATATCCTGTTATCACTTTTGTAGTATGTTTCATTCTGAAACATACATTTGCCACTTACCACACACCCCACTGTTGTGATTATGGGAATGATGAACTTCCAACCACCTGAAAAACAGGTTTCATCAATAAAACAAAGGTTATCAGCTAAGGATAAGAATGAAAATTCAAATGCTAAAAAGCACATTACAAGGATATCAAGCAGTCCTACTTGCCTGAACTATGTAAACACAAACTGAACAGGGGTGGGATGCTGCTAGCATTCTAGTTACTAGATTAAACTTGTATGTACTTGTCAAAGCTAAAAATATTTGATTTCAATGCCCTGAACTCTTCACAAATTATAGGAACTACTTTCTGCAGAACACTGTAAAACAACGGAGTAGAAATGCCATAAGAAATAAAGAAAACTGCAATAAACAAACACAGTGACACCTGGTGTGAGCAGTAACAAGTTCAAAGTAACTGACACTGATAAAGCTGCAACCAGTGTGAAACCGGGTTTCAATTTTTTCTTCGTTAACCAACTCACACATATTAAGCACTTGCATGCAGCGCTGTGACACCAACCTGTTCCATCAAAAGCACATAAATAACTCATCTCACAGCTTCACTATGTTGCAACCATTTTCCTTGCTTTACCACTTCTGTGACAGTGCCATCTGCTGGATAAATGTCTAATCAATATCAATATGTACTATAATTAGTTTTGCTTCATTCTGGTAAACATCTGCTTGTGATAAAATGTTCCATCATCCAAATGCATTCATCTCTTCAAATTTAATCAGGCAGCCTGTGCAGTTTTCAAAAGATATGCTGTAATAGTACGATTTTAGATTCTTATGGGAATAGTTATGAAGAGTTCTAGCTTCTGGAATACACCCATTACCCATAGTGACACATGTGATACCTGTGAATAATACTTTGTGACAAATGCACGGGGCTGCTATCAACTTTTTCTTCAAAACCTGTAGGCCCTTATGTCCCAGGTACAAGCACAAGGAACACTAGAAATATGGTGAATATTTCCAGCAAGTGGTCATATCCCCCTCTCCCCTCTTTTGTATAGTGGCACGTAGTCCAGCAAGAGTCAACCCTTTTGGAGGAACTCGCTGCATCTCTTCAAGGCTGAACAGTGAGCCAGGCAAGAAACTGGCATATAGCAGCCTGCTTCATGCTGACATTATATACAGGGTGTTTCACGACTTTAGGGCATAACTGCAGGAGGTGATTTCCTAGGTCTTTGTGATCAAAAAAGTTCACATAAACATATGTCCAATTTTGGACGATTATGGAGTTATGACCATTTTAAACTCAGAATAGAAGGTAACGATTACTGACAATAAACGGAACAAAATAATAAACCTGCATAATACATAATACATTTAAAGTATGAATGTAGAGTTAACTTCATGAAATTACCTTTAATTTGAATTTATTGGTGCTTAAAGCTGATTTTCGAAAATGCCACCGTCAGCTGCAACAGAGGCTGTCGCTTGGTTGTGAACTGCGCCAGACATACCAACCCTCCCCACCTTAGATACATGTCAAGTGTCAAGATAACGAGAGCACTCTGTCTGTAACTGGCTAAAAATAGCGACCCACCAGCTGACAGACACGGTTCACGCGAGGGCGTGTACAGGAATGAAAAAACGGTCATAACTCCGTAACCGTCTGAAATTGGACACATGTTTATATGAACTTTTTTGATCACAAAGACCTAGGAAATCACCTCCTGCAGTTATGCCCTAAAGTCGTGAAACACCCTGTATATAATGTCAGCATGAAGCAGGCTGCTATATGCCAGTTTCTTGCCTGGCTCACTGTTCAGCCTTGAAGAGATGCAGCGAGTTCCTCCAAAAGGGTTGACTCTTGCTGGACTACGTGCCACTATACAAAAGAGGGGAGAGGGGGATATGACCACTTGCTGGAAATATTCACCATATTTCTAGTGTTCCTTGTGCTTGTACCTGGGACATAAGGGCCTACAGGTTTTGAAGAAAAAGTTGATAGCAGCCCCGTGCATTTGTCACAAAGTATTATTCACAGGTATCACATGTGTCACTATGGGTAATGGGTGTATTCCAGAAGCTAGAACTCTTCATAACTATTCCCATAAGAATCTAAAATCGTACTATTACAGCATATCTTTTGAAAACTGCACAGGCTGCCTGATTAAATTTGAAGAGATGAATGCATTTGGATGATGGAACATTTTATCACAAGCAGATGTTTACCAGAATGAAGCAAAACTAATTATAGTACATATTGATATTGATTAGACATTTATCCAGCAGATGGCACTGTCACAGAAGTGGTAAAGCAAGGAAAATGGTTGCAACATAGTGAAGCTGTGAGATGAGTTATTTATGTGCTTTTGATGGAACAGGTTGGTGTCACAGCGCTGCATGCAAGTGCTTAATATGTGTGAGTTGGTTAACGAAGAAAAAATTGAAACCCGGTTTCACACTGGTTGCAGCTTTATCAGTGTCAGTTACTTTGAACTTGTTACCGCTCACATCAGGTGTCACTGCAGTTACTTTGAACTTGTTACTGAATTTGTTACCGCTCACACCAGGTGTCACTGCAGTTACTTTGAACTTGTTACCGCTCACACCAGGTGTCACTGTGTTTGTTTATTGCAGTTTTCTTTATTTCTTATGGCATTTCTACTCCGTTGTTTTACAGTGTTCTGCAGAAAGTAGTTCCTATAATTTGTGAAGAGTTCAGGGCATTGAAATCAAATATTTTTAGCTTTGACAAGTACATACAAGTTTAATCTAGTAACTAGAATGCTAGCAGCATCCCACCCCTGTTCAGTTTGTGTTTACATAGTTCAGGCAAGTAGGACTGCTTGATATCCTTGTAATGTGCTTTTTAGCATTTGAATTTTCATTCTTATCCTTAGCTGATAACCTTTGTTTTATTGATGAAACCTGTTTTTCAGGTGGTTGGAAGTTCATCATTCCCATAATCACAACAGTGGGGTGTGTGGTAAGTGGCAAATGTATGTTTCAGAATGAAACATACTACAAAAGTGATAACAGGATATTGCTGCTTCTGTTTATAACAATAAACCAGTAATTTCAGTTTGAAAATTACTTTAAAAAAAAAGTCATCTGTGAGCAAAGTCAATCATCTGTGATTGATACTCTTCTCTTTGCACTTTTATGTTATATGCATTTAAAAATGCATTATTTGTACATTATGTTCTTGGGGTGGTAGCACATGCACATTTACAAACCAAAGGATGGAAATTGATTAAACCTTCAATATCGATGTTGAGCATAATATTTATGTAACTGCTGACATGTATTTTAGCTGATAATTGTAGAAAAGATTTTATTTTATTACTAATGAATTTTTTTAGTATGATAGTGAATTTCATATACAGTACAACTGTTATTAATTACTGGCAGGATTATGAGATTATGATGAAACCTGTTGTAACTGCCAGTCTCTCCCTGCAGATATTACTGAATTTAAGTCTTTCTAACTTCAGTGTTACAAAGTGTTTTAAAAATATAGAATGAGTGCCTCTTTCAATGTATTGTTTTGGGTTAATTTGTCATGGACAGATTTCCTTATTATTGATGTAACATACTACTGGTAAGTAATTACAGTGCTCCCTTTGTATGTTCTCTGTAATGCAATGGTGTATTGATTTGTTTTGTCATGATACTACCAGACTTTAAAATAAAAACACTTCACATCAGTTTGTAAAGTTACTTTCTGTATAAAGGTATATATACAAGTACTTCTTCACCTATACAGGTCATTAGTAGTTACGTAAAGTAAAAAAGGATACAGGTTTCATTGTAATGTCATGTCATATATCTTGGTGTATTTTTAACATTGCAGTTTAAATTTGATTATACTGATTTATCTTCATATGTCACTGTCTGAATTTTATACTGGGGTACAAAATAATGACCCTGTTATAGTCAGAATACATCTATAAATATTTTGGTACTCACAGTAATTACATCGGTATTTAAACCTAATCACTTTCTTTCCTGATCTAATATTCCTGCTAAATGTTTTAGAGAGAGAGCTTGATAATTTTTGTGTATAGACTTGAAAATAATTATGTTTCTAAGCTGTTGAGGTACATATATTGTGGTTGAAGGATGAAAATAATAATATATAAAAATATAGAATATTTTTGTCTTGAATACAGTCTACAGTCCAAAGGAAATATTTGGCTGAAAGGGGTATTTGTTAATATCAAAATGAAGACTAGATTTGTATCAGAATTCTTGAGATGGTTAAGATTTCATTTCTCAGCCAATTGAATTGTGAATTTAGGTACAGAATTTGGTGCTTTATTTTCATATGCCTTAAATACAAAGCTCCTTGAAGCCAAAATCAGTTTATGGGTGATGTGAATGATGCAGACCAGAAAAATGCTTTTCTTATTTCATGTATGCAAAACAGTCTCTCATTCAGTCATGTGGTTAACACCTTTTAAAGAGCTTCCCTTGCACTTTGAATGCGCAGCAGGTCCAATTGTAACTCTGGAATTGTTAAAGGTATATTTTGAGTGAGGATAAAATGTGTTACTGAAGGGATTAATTCACAGATGGGATGAATCGTGATAAGGCAGGAGTCATCTGAAGCATCTTCTAGCTGATGAAATCCATTGCATGGATGCAGTTATGATTCCAGTTGTCTGTTATGGTGGATGTTTTGATTGTGATACATATTCAGTATTTTATGGCAGCTTGTATTTTAGTGACAGTTGACTAACAGAGTTTCAGGCATTTATCTTACTACTGTTCTCCTCTAAGCAGGTAAAAGAAAAGCAGGTGCGAAATACAGTGAAATATTTCATATATTTTACATATTATTTGCAAGAAACTGAAAATGTTTATAGAAAAATATCTATACAGAACACAAGCGTGTGTTCAGATTAAAATATTTTTGGATATTTGTATTATTTTTCTTAATTTTGTGTGGTAGCCACTGTTACTAGGAAATGAAATTCACGAACATAATCTCTAAGGTTCATGAGTCCAGAACTATCTGATCAACTACATTTCATTCACATCAATTTCAAGGGTACCAACTGCTCATTTGAGCAGCTAAAGCTTTTGTTCCTTTCATCATATAAATATGATCTAGCTATAGTCTGGCTACATATTAGTGTTGATAGAAAAGTTACATAAAATAAATACTGAGTCTTAATGTTTCAGAAACATCAGATTTTGCAGCAGAAGGCACTTGCATAGTCTGAATATGCCATTTCTTCTATTGCCATCATTCAGATCATCATAAGTATGCAAGGAAGGTTGCATGCCTTGCATTTAGCTGTAGTATAATAATCTGTTAGTCAAAGAGAAAGAGAAAGTGGTACTGTAGTTCAGTTGTATTTTTTAAAATAATCTTTATACTGTAAATGTTTTATCTGTATCTGAGATATGTTTTATTTTCTTTTCACATTATTAATATTAGTTTTTTATATACAAATAACAATGTCATTTAGTTAGGGGAAAAATATGTCTGTGCATTGTGTTCTGTCATCATCATTTTAATGTTGCACAAAAGCTTTGCCATATGATGCAGTTATTGACGTGTTTACAAGACAGCTCTTACCTTTGTAATTTTACATACTTGCTGAGGTGTATAGCTATATTCAAGTGACTAATTATAATTTCTTTAACCTCAAGTCAGTGATATATGGATGCTTACAGATGAAATTGAGCAGAAATGAGAGCAGTTTCTTACATAACTATCTACAGTCAAAGCAGATCAGAATATTTCTTTTCTCAGAGCCACCTAGTCAAAATAAAGTTTGCCTGCCACCACTTTTCACCACATTATCAATTATTACTTGAATTTACTTTGCAAACCATCTGCCTTTGTAAGGAGGCCTTTTATACTGCTGAAAATTCTTTGTATAACATAATCAGATAAATTTATTTCATAGCAGCTGAAAAAGTTGATTCTCCTACAGTTTTTGCAAGAAATACATGCGGGTCGCAGATTTATGCTTTGATTTTAATGAAACACGTTAGATGGTTGTGTAAGATTGGTGTGCATGGAACTCAGGTGTTAACAGAACGCTGCTTTTTGATTCCTGCCTGCCAGTAAATATGAAATTTGTAACATTTATGATGCATTTACCCAGACATGGCTTAGGTATGACAATAAGGTAGACTAGCTTGTGATGGTAGCTGCTGATGAGTCGGGACATTTTCTTGATTGGAGAATAAAGTAAACGTATAACTTCTTACATATTCTGCCCATATACAAGCAAGAAACATTAAGGGGGCTTTCTTTTGAATAAACCTTTGGTTTCTGTCTATAAGTAAAGCATGTGTAAAGTAACATCTCTCTCTCTACCCTTTCTGCTTATTGTGAGGAAAGGTCCTATACAAACCTGATTATTTTTATGTTTAAGAACAGCATGCACAATGCACACAATGGAAGAAGTAAAAAATGAAAGTGCTTGTTGTATTGTAAGTGCTTAGAGAGAAATAAAACTTCAGCTTTTATATAAAAAGATTTCGATACATGAATAAGTTGCCTCTGTATCTTGGAACCTCATATTTTTCAATATTTACTGTGTACTGAAATCTGTTGACCTGATAACATATTCTACTTGAATTTCCAGAAGCTTGAACATTTTGAGCTGTCTTGTATTGATTTATACAGAAGATCATTAAGTGGATATCTTTGGCACCATACCATGGCACATCCTCAGGATGCATGCGGAGACACCCTCCAGATACGGACAGTCACTGAAAGCACTGAATAAGCAGTAACAGCTGAAAAGGGGTTAATCTCCAGCTTGGAGGTTGGGCATGGAGGTGACAACTTATAAAAGAACCAACATGTTAACTAAATGTCACATAGGCCCTTAGTGTAAAATAATTTGTCTCAGTGTTCGTATGTATGCAACTCAATATCTGACCCTAAAATAAAAATATCGGGACCTGAAAAGGGGGACTGAATCGATGGAACGAGAACATTAATTTTCAGTTTTGTAATTATACTCTTCACCAAATATTACTAGGATTATTCAGTTGAGGAGGATGAGATGAATGGGATATGTACTAGGCAGAAGGAAGGCAAGGTCTTTTGGAAGTGGAATGTGCGTGTGAGCTAGAGTTGAGTGGCTCAGGATATGGTCTGGTAGTGGCATTATTATTCCTAAGTGTTTGTAACTGCTGTAGCGTTCTGTTTGTGGTGGCAAACCCAACAGAATATTTATATTGCTAAAACAAAATACAGGACAGCACAGACCATGACCCAATCCAGATTTGAACCTGTGTGCCCTGCAACGTTGGATTACTGGGATTGTCTTTCAACTCCATGGTTAATTATAATCAAATCTGGTTATGCAGAGATGTAATAAATTTTGTGAGCCTTCTGAAGGGATCATATAATTTGACAGAAGTATGAAATACAGCACTGTTACATTCTCTACTGTATTTACTTAACTCCTTCCTCTTCTTGACTCTGCAGCTTTGTTCTGGCCTTGGCCTTCTCAGCTGTACCTTTCCATATGTTTCTCTCCAAAACTTTATTTGAGAACATTAGTTCAAGCCTTTCTTTCCTTCTTCTTAAATTCAGATAAGGTGGGTGGTTGCCTGTACTCCCTCCCTCTTTTTCCTTTTGCTTTCCATCTGTGGAGGTTGATAATTTGGTAATTGAGCATTAATTTTACTGCTTGTTTGATTTAAGAGATCATCAATTATATTTACAAAATAAATGTTTAACATACTTGTCACATTCTGTGGATTTGATATTATTTCTGTTTCATCATTCAGTTCAGTTTTCTTATCATATTTCCATGATTTTCCAACTTGTTTATTTATTACATGCCACATAGCTTTTATTTCATTATTCGCTCTTAATTGAAACAAAAATATTTATCATGTTTTCTTCCTTTAGCATCTTTAGTGATTCTGTTATAGATTGTTTTATATTTTCTTACTCCTGCACTTCTGTTGAAAGATTATACTGTTTTCTCACATCATTTAACACTCTCATTCTTTTACAAGAATTACGTATTTGTTAGGTAATCCATTTATTTGCCTTTATGTTACTGCTATAAACAGTTTTTAATGAAAATCTATATTATAATGATAAAGGATCAAGTTCATGAATTAAGTAAAACTTGTATTTACATATAAATCGAAAAAAAAAACTCCTGCCATGATTCATTTTGTAATAGGTAATTAAACTCATCAGTACTTCATTCATAATCTTTTCCTACTCTTTACAGGTCCTTTTTTGATCTGTTTACATTAATATTTATTATTTGTGCCAAATGATATGAGAATAACCCAAATCTAATACTGTTGATAAACTTGCTTGTTTATTACGGTGGCATCTATCAATGTAAACCCATTTATAGGCAATGCCAGAAATACACACTCTCAACGGTAGAAAAGGTATTGCAAGAAATGTTGTCTATGTCGTCTGTGCCATGCCCATTACAATGCAATGGGTCGCTAAACACATTGCTGCAGAAGCATCCTGTGGAACAATAGGATGTCCGAAGAAAGCAGTCTTCTGGGATTTGGCACCGTGTATATGTGGTGTTAACCGACGTTTCGGAGGAACGTATCGCCTCCATCTTCAGGGTAGAAGAAAAAATATAAGAATTCTGCAAGCGAAGAGACCGTGAGAACCGGTAAAAGCAGACTGCTTTTACCGCTTGCAGGTTTCTTATATTTTTTCTTCTACCCTGAAGATGGAGGCGATACGTTCCTCCGAAACGTCGGTTAACACCACATATACACGGTGCCAAATCCCAGAAGACTGCTTTCTTCATAGTCACCGCCGTGAAAGCCTCAAATCTTAAATAGGATGTCCATTTCTAGGCGGTGTAGTGGTAAACGCCCATACGAATTGTTGGAAACTGTGTTTTCTGTGGGTCCATGCAAAGTGGATATAAGAGAGTCAAGTTCCAAAGCTAGTAGTTGTGGAAGAACGATATTGATAATTGAAAGAGTGTAGTAGAGACCGAGAACAAGAATGGTGCATGTCCTACGGATTCCTGAAATGGGCAGATCAGGGATAGCACTATTTGACTTTGATTAAGAGTGATGGTAAAAGAAGACGTTAATACATACAATCATCCAATCCAGAACCCACCATTGGTATTAGTGACAACTATGAACACATGAGAGTATTTACCAAATTATACAATGGCAGCAAGTTTTTTAATTCATGTAGTTTTACACTGTCTTCCATAAAATTTGTTCCAGTCCTCATATAAAATTAATCTTCTTAATTGCACTTTTGAATTACTGTTTCCATTTTTTTATGAATAGATGAAGGCCACTATCAAGTGATCTATAAATTAAAACAAGAACTATGTTATAGTCCAATAATTCAACTATGGACATTTCAAGGTATTTTTTTCTTATATAATTCGTTTAAACAGTTTTCTTTGGTTTATGCATAATCTTTTGCATATATACATGAACCACCGTATTCACCACTGATTCTAATAAAAGTGCTTTCCAATTTAAAATGATCAATATTTATTAACACAATATGCTCCTCTTTTAACCAGTGTTCAGTAAAACATATGTCCACATTTTTGAGGTCTGATTATAAGGTAGTTAATTCCAGTAATTTATTTTTTAATATCTGCACATAGTGGAGAATCAGTAGTTGTAAAGAATTTATATCCATTTTGTTGTCTACCTTTATACTAATACTAGTTTTGTTTTGCTGATGTCCATAAAAAACCATCCTTTCTTGTAATAGGTGGTTTCAAAAGTCTCTTTGATTCTGTGATTGTATATGACAATCTTCCATATCTCTGTTAAAGCAGAAGGTGTGGGGGAAACACACAGAAATGACTAGCTATGACGCCATTAATTATGGCTAAAATTAAAACAGCCAGTTTAGTACCACATATTTGTACTACTTTAAAGAGTACCAAATATACCAGGCCACAATAAAATATGGAAGACAAGCGTTAAAATGCCAGCGCATCTTTGCTCTTTAATCCTCATAGAACTTGTGTGAAGTAAGGTGAAGCGAGGTGCAGCACAAGGCAGTACCAAGTTTATAGTTGGCGACGCCAGGGAAGGCAGCCTCAAGGTATACAAAATGCCGTCCCTGACTGCTGGAGGATTTATTCAGCTGCTATCAACACAGGAAATGAAAATGTCTGGAATGTCAGTATGTTAAAAAATACCTGTCAGCATGTAATTAGGATGCTTAGTTTTTAATTCCTCTTGATGAGGTGGATTTTTTCAATTTACCTAATCCTTCCAGCAGCATTTTGGCCCTGGGGTCAACTCAGCCTTTAACAGAAATGCGAACCAGGAATATTCTTGGGGGTTAAAGGTGGCCGGCACATAATGCTGACAACCGTACTGCCATCTATGAACCAATTGTCTAAAAAATGTGGGAACCTCAACATCTCACAACCCTATGGGTCTCCACAATCTGTTAACAGGGATGCCTTTAGTTACACAGTGTTTTGATTCCTTTGTTGGGCCATCATCAGGCAGTTACAGCTTGGACTAGGAGACATGTAGAGGAGAGTAATATATATTGCAGTATCTGTAGCACTATGATAATGTAAAAACCCATGACATATGTTAGTAGAATTACAGAGTAAAAATTGTCGGTCTAGGTTTATTAAATTGCTACTGGACAACACCAGCACAGTCATTCTTGGTTATGGGACTTTTTTTTTCTTGCCACATATTTATTATACAGAATCTGCAATAAATGTATGTGTTCAATAAGTATTGGCTCGTGAATGAGTTATGCCAAGTGGCATAACCGTATACTTTCCCTTTCTGTTCATTTAAGTATCATTTAAATTTTTATATTGGGCTTTTACTCAGGTCTGTCTGGTAGAGTTAGGATGGTGCATCTTTTCAGTCTGTGTAGTTTAGCTGTCGTCTAGTAGGTTCACTGCTAGTGCATTGATGTGATTTTCTAATTTTCTTACGTATTTGGTATTCCACGTTTTTATTTCACTGAGCACTGTCTTTATTTGTAGATCTTCATGAATCCTGTGGTTGTTTTTGTATCAAGGTATATTCAAAATGGATCAGAGTCTTGGATAGAGTGCTCTGGAGGATTTCATTGTTGGAATTGGAGGCAGGCCTCCACAGCTGAATTCCATAGGTCCATATGGGTTTGAGTACTGCTTTCTATAGGAGGAGTTTGCTTTCTGTTGATAGTGTTGATCTTCTGAGTAGCCAGTACATTTGTTTCGCTTTTAGGTTGAGCTGTTTTCTCTTGGATTTGATGTGCTTTGACCTTGTCAGATTTGTGTCGAGATGCATACCCAGGTGTTCTGCTTTATTTTTCTAGGGTAGATCAACTTTGCCCATTTACACTGTCTGACAGGTTTGGTTGCATAGGATGAATGTAATATATGCAGATTTGCTTCCCCCCCCCCCTGGCACTATAGCCAGTGGGCCTAGGCCTAGCTCCATGAACTTCTCCAGGATTTGCTTTTATTTATTTTAATTCCCCATTTCTTCACCCAATTGTCATTCTTATTATTGGTGGCTTGGAGTTTCATTGAGGCTGTCTCTGGATCTTCATGTGTGGCTAAGATCACTGTATCATTGGCGAAGGTCGCAGTTATTGTGTTGTCTGATGTTGGGAGGTCACTTAAATGGGACACATGACCAAATGTGCTCTTTAAACCTAAAGCTTTTGGGCTCTGTGTATACCCCATATGTGAAGGGTGTTTGAGAAAGTTCAAACGTATAGGGAATCGATACAACATTAAGACAATCCTCAAAACTAAACACACACTCTTAGGAGTTTACTCATGAAAACCAGGCCAGAAAGAGATCTGCAACAGGTGGCACAGTGTATCTACAGTATTCCCTGTGAATGGGGCAGTAGCTACATTGGTGAAACAGGCAGACCGCTGGCCTTGCAGCTGCATGAACACAGGCATGACCTCCAAGAGGGTCATAGGGTAGGCTGGGATGATGCTAGGATTTTGGAATTTGAAAGTAACAGCAGGTATATAAAATACAAGGATTGGGCCCATATGGCGTGCTTGACCAGTCCAATCAGCCAACCCAATTTGGACATTTCTCCTATCTGGGTCCCCCTCATCAGCAATGAGATTTCTAACTCATATTTCTTTGCATTGGTGCTCACACACTTGGTTTTGTTGTCTAGGTCTGAGGCATAAGTTTCTACCACGTTTTGTATCCTACTTTGAAGCAGGTGCATGCCCTGTCACGATTTTTATTGCATATGTTCTTGTTGGAGTTCGACAAGGATGCTGTTTATCACCAATTCTGTTCAACTTGTACAGCGAATGCCTTACCAAGGAAGCTCTGGGTGGGCTCGAAGACTTCAAAGTAGGAGGGCAAATTATTCAAACTGTGAAATATGCAGATGACCTTGTGTTAATGGCTAAGGAAGAAACTGTGCTACAGGGCATGATTGATAGACTAATTGAAATTGGAAGGTGCTATGGCATGGAAATGAATGTGGAGAAAACAGAAGTAATGAAAATTTCGAGACAACCAACCCCAGTCACAATAAAGATAGACCAAAAACAACTGGAGAATGTGAAATGTTTTAAATATTTGGGTAGCTTGTTAACAGATGATGGAAGGTGTACTTGTGAAATTAAATCCAGGATTGCCATGGCAAAAGCTGCATTTAGCAAGAAGAAGAATCTTTTTACCAGCAAATTGGACTTAAATTTGAGGAAGAAACTAGTGAAATGCTACATTTGGAGCATAGCTCTGTATGGGGCTGAAACATGGACACTTAGGGCAGTAGATCAGAAACATCTGGAAAGTTTCGAAATGTGGTGTTGGAGAAGAATGGAGAAGATCAGTTGGACCGATTATGTGAGAAATGAAGAAGTGTTAATTAGAGTCAGTGAGCAGAGGAATATCCTACATGAAATAAGAAAACGGAAGGCTAATTGGATTGGTCATGTTTTACGCAGAAACTGCCTTCTAAAAGAAGTTATTGAAGGAAAGATAGAGGGGTGGATAGAAGTGACAAGAAGACGTAAGAAGATGCTGGATGACCTTGGGGACAGAAGAGGATACTGTCATTTGAAGGAGAAAGCTCTAGATCGCATTAAGTGGAGGAATTGTTTTGGAAGAGACTGTGGACCTGTCGTCTTACAGATTACTGATGATGATGATGATCTTGTTATGTTCTGCTGAATTAGCCTGGTCTCAGGTGATTAAATAGCTGCATGAATCTGTCAGGGTTGTCCAGTAATGGAGGTTAGCTCTTTCTAAGGGACCCAACTGAGTATCTCCTCACCTGAGGACAGAAACAGATCCAGTTTCCAAAAATAAGCGTTGATAGATGGGCAGAATTGTGCAGTAATATTGTCTTTATTGTTGATATGCTGTATTTACATTGCAGTTGGAATATCACTAGTAATAGTGGTTGGTTTGCTGCACCTGTTTATACTTCACCCATCCACAATTCAGTCATTTAGAAAATATTTCAGCCATACTTTAAACTTTGAAGTTGCATCTGTTCTATTCCTTTGCCATGCAAAACAGTTAAATGTAGTAAACTCACGTCTGCTCATACACTTCAGTAATTTGTAATGTTTGTATGGAATCTAGTCATTGTTGTTACAATACCCTAATTGTGTCATGCAGCAAATGCCAAAAATAGTAGTTTTGTTTCTAAAAGGAAATATTTACTCATTCTCGGATATATGTTAACTCCAATGAGCCCAGTGTTGTATTAACATTTATTTGATGTGTTTATAGCTTATATGCCTTCCAAGCTGGGAACATAAAGCACTTGGACAGTTTGGTTGTGTAATCACATGAGAGTTCTTTAAGTTTGGCATCTTGGACGCTGGAACGTGTTATTGAGTTTGTCACCCCAGGAGTAAAATTCTTGGTTAGACCTGAAAAATAGGTCAGGGCAAAGTGTAAAGTGATTGCTATAAAGACTTGCTTAAATAAAGTTCCACAAATAAAATAAACTCGGAACTCACTCGTGATATCTGCAGGTAATGTGGAGTTAACATGTGTTTGATTTGAAACCAGTTTATGCCCTGCTTTGTTGATTTCCAGTCTTTTGAGAAAGTCCCTTGTGGCGTCACTGATCTGTTTCCCATCCAGCAATGCTAAGCAGTAAAATAAAATGTTACACATTTGTTTAATACAAAGATTGTGTAGTATTTTGCTATATATATTTTTTCTAAAGTGTTCTCTAGAAATCGGCTTTGTCAGTGTTAAGCTGAAAAAAATCCTCTTGCTTTAAAAATGTCCCCCCTTCCCCTTACAAGATGTGCCCCATAATAGTGAAAACATTATGCCCTTGGAGACCAATTACCTCACATTGATAGCATCAACGTGACAGCTATATAAATATGTGAGGGGTGAATTAATGCAGATTCCTTATAATTTTATGTGAGTATAGCACTTTGAAAAACATGCAACTCGTTATTAAGATGATTCTTGTTGAACGTTAAGTAACATCAGTGTAGCTAGGCATGTGAAATTTTCTGTAGTTTATAAAGATACATAGAAATCTAACACAAAGCATTCTCTAGCCTACTGTCCTTTCTTAAGGGGAAGAAGGTAGGTGTATGATATCACCATTTTAAGCCACTTCATGATAGTAGCCTTGGAAAAATATATGACTTTTACAAGTATTAGCATTTTACAAACATGATGATTATAAAAGATCTAAAAGTTTGTGACAGTGGTAAATTGCTACAAGTAATATGTTTTTGGACATCCATTGTCTTGTCTATTTTAAAAAAAACTGTCCTGTGTATTTTTTAAAACATGTTTCGTAGACTGGATTCTGTCCCCGTCAGGTAAAACCTCCTCAGTTGGGTCCAATAGGTAAGAGCTAGCCCCTATCTCCAGACTAGCTAGGGGCTAGCTCTTATCTATTGGACCCAACTGAGTAGGTTTTACCTGAAACGTGTTTTAAAAAAAGAAACAGGACGGTTTTTTAAAAATAGACAAGACGATGGATAATGTCCAAAAACATATTCATTACTTGATGAAATTTAAGGCATAAAATGTATACTTTCTACATAGGATAAGTAAAGTAGATAGAACCATCCAGTGAAGTGATAGGATTTTGACCCATGCCACTTTCTGGGATTATGAAATGTGTATGGTCCCAAACAGTCAAGGATTATTATACAGTATGTGTACACAGACTGAACATCAGCTTATAATAACATAAATTAAAGTATGGTAGTAAAACAGTTCTGCATCTAAAGGGAAATTATTTGTGATTTTGCATAAACTATTAAGTTAACTGAAATGGAACTTGAAAATTGAACTACCGTTAACTTACTAGTATTAGCATAACATAACCGTTCTCCTGTCAGAATATTACAACCATATGACATCTGTGTACCCACTCACCTAACTTGTTGGAACATGTTATGAGTCTTTCCCTATACTTTTGTTGTGAACAGACTGGGTTGCCTTCTAACTCCAAACTGGTGATGTTATTCCACTGGGACACAACCCGTGTTAGGTCCATGATGTCACAGAGACAATTATTTTGAGCAATCAACCATTTCAGTTCATTTAGGCACTCTAAGTCAGCAACTGATGTCATTCCATTACTAGTAACATCCAAAGTATGCAGACATCTCTGAAAAATAGAGACAACTCTAAAGTTTTCACTGCATGAAATACTGTGGTACTTGATTTCCAAGATTTGTGAAAGTAATGACAATTTCTGAAATATGCATAATTTGTTATGTTTAGATCGAAACTCTCAGTTTACAAATTGTTCTTGTAAAGTATAGTTCTCAATATCAAAATTGTTTACAGAATTTGACATTGTGCACATTTTTGCTAGTAACTTACAGCGAGCCCTTTCATAGTTCTTGGATCGAAGTGTAGAGTTTCTCCTTGTGGCAGCTGCTGTCTCTGTACATGCAGCTCTTCCAGATTGTAAAGCTTGTCTAATCCCTCAATCACAGCTATACAGTTGTGTCCTAAGTATCTGCACAAATATTGTATGTCTGAATTTTGGTCAGTTTATATATGTACATAAATGAGTATCAAGCAAGTTTCATAGGCTATGACTTAATGACTTACATAAATGTTTTTCTACATTGAAGAATACTTTAATGATGGAAGGAAATGGTCAGGTTTAACTAGCATATAAATGTTACCATACATATCACTAGTTTTCAGCAGCTGTGGTCGTTATAGCTTATAAATACCATATACCAAAATGATTGATGCAGTTTTGAAGTACCGCTGCTGTGAGAACCTCAGATCCTACTTTCATTTTTTGTTTGTTTGTTTGTGTTTGTTTGGTTTTTTTTTGTTTGTTTGTATAACTTGAAATATTCTGAGCCATAATTGATTTCCATTGTTCTTATTTATTATGAATACAAATGAAAATTTTGTAATTTCACTATTCAGTATATTAGTCTGTGTGAGTACATAGACAGGAGATAGCAATAGCAGCTCTTCAGACTGAACAGTTTGTCAGTATGCTTGCCACCTTGTGTCACAGCTTAACAAGAGGGTCAGCTAGGAGCACTGCACCATTTGTTGGTAAAAGTATTTAGGACTGTTACAAAAGCAAGATCTGATTGTGATATTAATGCAACATAATATTTAAACATACAGTTCCTCACTTACAGAAAACATGTTTGTGTCTTCAGTATGCTAAAACAAATTAACCCCATTAAGAGAAATGATCCCATCTTATTCTAAGAATCATATGAAACAAATACATTCTGTGGAGAGTTTTTGTAATGTTGGAACAGGTAGTACATATAATAACCACTGAGCTTTGAACAGTTATAAAGTATCAGAAGAGAATGTGAGACAAAATATTAGAGGTAGTAAAAGGAGATGTTGAGAAGATGGAAATTTAAGAATCGCGTTTCATGTGCTAGACTAAAGTTGGTGGAAATATTATTACACACCTGAGCAATGGCAGTACTGTGACTAAATATTAGGGAGAGAGGAAGTCTTTGTGTGTGCACACAGTTGCATATGTCTATCAGCATGTAATAACACTGAAATTTCTGAATAGATTTTCATTACATTGGCATTGAGGGGCTGCACCAAAAGTTGTTGGAGGGATTTCATTTTAGCTCACGTTGATCAAACATAATCTGTCAGCAAAAACTTACTGGTGTTCCTTTAAAAATCTGTCTTGATATAAATTTAAATGTTACATTCTAAGTTTGGTCCATGGACATCTTGAAGATGACAAAAATAGAAGGCTTCAGTTTTGTGAGCTCTGAAATTCCTGATATTGTGATGAAAATAATTTGGTCATCTGAGGTGAGTATGAAATTGATCAGGGCAGCAGATGCCTGTATCCACTGAGCTGTTACTAATCTCCACTAAATTTCATGGTCAAATGGGTAGCACTCCTGCATTGTATTAAGGATGTCAGATTCACATTTTGGCAAAGAAAATTGCTATCCTAACAAGGTTTAACATAAGTCTAGTAAAGTCACCACTACCAGCAAGCTTCCAGTATTGCCATCCATTGATGTTATCAGCTAAATAACCAGTGAGCAATAATTTCTTTCTGCTGCATTTGGAAGGGAAGCCATAATAGGCTACCAGGCATTCTCAACAGTAATTGTATGAGCTCTAGTCTACATGGTTGACCAGCATGATGAGTGTGGTTGACTAATTAATATTAATGATGTAAGAACTGGTGTTTGATTAGATTTATAGATTATGTATATTTTGAAAAAAGCAGTCTTCTGGGTTTTGGCAGTGTGTATATGTGGTTAACACCACCGCTGTAAAAGCCTCAAATCCCTCATGTATATTTTAGTTGATATTTTCTCTTTATTACATATCCATGTACTTACTTGATCTGGCTATGGTGACTTACCAGTACTTCTGGTTACCATGTTCTAGGATTGTCCTTAAGAATAGTGCCTTGATAAATACCTTCAAATTAAGTAGTAGTAGTAGTCTTTATTTCCATAAATCCAATACTAGAAATACATTCAGAGGATGTGGAAAAGTCAAACAAAACACATAAATAAAAACAGTACAAGGTACCAAGTCAATATACAGATATGTTAAATAATACTACTGAGATCATAAAAAACGTAACTAGTATCAGTTCAACCCTTCCTATCAAAAATACTCAAAATACACTTCCAAATATATAAAAGAAACAACAATAAGTCTCACCTGCTTCCACATTTTCTAATTAATTACGCATTAACCCCGGCATTCAGTGCTGTATAATCTGAACTTTCAAAAATATCAAGAAAAAAATAAAATACTGATAACAGTACTTTTGAAATGATCTCGATCAAGCTTCATACAGTGTGTTGTTTCTTTGTTTGGTGTCATGGGTCCCAGCTTTTGAAGGAATGCTAACTAGTGAGTCCTTTCTAGTATTGCAAGATTATGACCTACAACTACATGAGGACAAACTCTCAGAGACCTGGTACCTTGTGCAAGGTGGAGCTGCCTGCAGTTACTTCTTTTTTGAGTGAAATCTTTTCCAAGAAGTGGTTCTATTGAGTGGGCATCATGACACTAATGGATTTCTTCATGTGAGGTACAGTTAAGGATAAAGTAAACATGAAGAAACCCACAATTGTAATTGAACTCCATAAATACACTGAAGAGCCATTCCAAATCTTGATGAAAAAGAGCTTTGAAAAAAGTATCAGAAAGATTTCAACTGTATAAATATTACATATGGGAAACATATTTTGTTATAGTAGAGGATGCAGATATTTTCAGACTGACAGTTATACTCACAGTTTCTTAAGATTTTTCAGGCCATTTAAATTTTCAATCTTGCTGATTTTATTTCTTTGGAGGTATAAGTGAGTCAACTGAGTAGCATGTTCTAAATTTTCTATTTTTGTCAAACAATTGTTTTGTAAATATATAACTGTTAAATTCTTGCATTGTGAAATATCACCCTGGAAATGCAAAACCACTGATAAATATATTTGCAGTAGTACAGCATTACTGTGAATTTAAAAGAAAATAATGACTAGTAAGCAGATGGTACTTACTATTGTGTCTATGAAATTGCCCTGCAAGTGAAGATGTGTTAGTTTTCTAAGGATATCAGTATCATTTTCAGGTCTGGATTTTTTCCGCGTTTTGCGTGTCACCAGTGTAGACGTAAGTTTCACCATATTCTTGCAGATGGAACAAAATCAAGTGAAAATTTCGAATTTTTTTTACTTTGGAATACTAATAAACCCCAAAGCAAAACACTGCCCTTGGCGAAACTGATACATTGTTTACTCAGTAGCTTTGAGGTAACCATAGTAACTCCAATAGTACGATTCACATATCTTGACCGCCCTTGACATATGGAGAGAACGAATAGGGAGTTGCCGTAGCGTTGCCAATTTGTCGTTCTGCACACGTATGTGTAGCAGCATTAGCGTTTAGAAACTGATAGCAGAACTTTTTTGGCAGTAGAGAATTGGTCTTTGTCATAATATTCTAAAACAGTTCTGTGTAGAACGTTGTTTTGGTAGTCATTTAGGTTTGTCGCCTTTCTTATGTTTATGTGCATTATGGGTGACAAACAGCTTCACGGTAAACTTTTCCCTCGTTTGCCTTCCCGAATACGCGCAAAACATCTGACTTCCTTGTACAGGACGCTTCAGTTGATGGCCCTGACTTTTAGAGGAATCCAGTCACTCTGCTTCGTTTTTCTTCAGACATATTTTTCAATGAAATTATACACGTACTTACTCAAATGTTATTTTGCTGGCGTTAAATGGAACGGCCCCCGCTATTTGTTCTGAGCTCTCTTAGCGACATGTTGCATTCAGGCACTTAGATTTAGAAACTGTATACAAAATAATTGATGTACAAATATGTTGTTACACATTTAAGCTCACTAAAACGCTAAAAGTTATAATACAAAATTAACAATACCTGTCCCTAGGTGAGAAGAAAACGACCGCGCTTGAACGTGCCACTCTTATCACGGGCGAAAGAAAAGGTTTTATTTTTTCCGGTCTTTAGTTCATCGTTTATATTATTATATTCGAAGTGGCTAGCTGATATGATGTGAAACAAAAAGTTCTGGGAAGAACTAATCTCTTTTCTTTCACTATAGTTTAAGTAGCTGATGCAAGTAGAAAACCTCAGTATGTATGCGTTATGAAATCAATAAAAAAACTCCGTGGTTATAGTCCCCAAGCGAACTATACCGACCAGGCGACCGCCACTTGTCAGCGAAGTTAGTCCCAAATTTAGCAGATAGAGAGTGCGCGTGGTCAGCGCAACGGATCCCCACGGCCGTTAATTTTGGTTTTCTAGACCGAAGCCGCTATTTTCTTGAACAAGCTCCTCAATAGTGAAGCCAACAAAACAATACAATTTGAGAGGTTGCGATGTTGATATTACTGATGGGCGTGATTTTATGATGTACACCGTTGAGATGGCCTTAGATGTCATGATATACATACCAAGTTTCATAAAGATTGGTTTGGACATTCAGGTAATATTAAGGTTATTACCTCGACAGCCTGAGAAGCTGCTATATTAGTATTACTGAAGGATTTATGATGTATGCCGTACAGATTACCTCAGACAGCATGCCACGCACACATACCAAGTTTCATGACGATCGGTTCAGGAATTCAAGGAATATTAAGGGTATTACTTCAATAATTTGAAAGGCTGTACTGTTGGTACTGCAGATAAGGGGGATTTTGTAAATTCTTAAGTACGCCGTTGGAATGGCCTCAGGTGACATGGTAATACTAGTATATAAGACGGCTGATGACGATCGGTTCAGGAGTTTGCGTATTATCAAGGGTAGGCTACCGATGGGAGGGATTTATGATGTACGCCGTTAAAATGGCTGCATGTGGCATGGTAAACTCGCCAACTTTCGTTAAGTTTGGTTTAGGCGTTCAGGCAATATTAAGGCTTTGCCTATACAGTTTAAAAGGCTGTAATGATGGTATTGCAGATATGAGGGATTTATGATGTATGACATTTATTTAAATGTCACGCTCAGGTGGCGTGATATATGTACCGAGTTCCATGACGATCGATTCAGGCATTTAAGTAACATTACGGTTATTACAGCAATAATTTGAGAGGTCGTAATGTTGGTATTACTGATGTAAGATGTTTACTAAATACGCCATTGAGATAAATTCGTGTGGCATGACATACATACCAAGTTTCATGAAGACTGATATAGACATTCAAGCAAATATTAAGATTTTGCCTTAGAAGTTAGAGATGCTGTAATGTTGGTATTACTGATGGGTGGTATTTGTGAATTACGCCATTAAGATGTGCTCAGGCAACATGATATACGTACCAAGTTTCATAACGATTGATTCTGGCATTCAAAATTTGTTGGGATGTCTGTTCCAGTAGCACGGAGGGACAATCACGTAAATTCCTATAACAGATTTTTCTTTATTGCTAGTGGGGTGGGACTAAGTCCCATGTACTGCGGCCACTTCTGGCCTATTGTACCAGCCCCAGATGATAGGTGAGGGTGATTGTGGAGCAATTGGTGGAATGAAGATTGGCAGGGGAAACCGAGGTACTCGGAGAAAACCTGCCCCAGCGCCACTTTGTCCACCACAAATCCCACTTGACCAGACCCAGGATCGAAGCCAGCGACTAACCGCTTGAGCTATGGCGCTGAAATTTATTTAACAACGCTATCCGCAAATCAGAGCGAGTGACGGTACGAATGGTAGGATGACAGCGAATAATGAATTAGAAATTTGTTGCAGGAAGCGTTTGTGGCCTAGTTTGAGGTGATATCCCATCATTCGCTTGGATGGACTGAAGAAAATCACGGAAACATTAATTAGTATAGTCAATATCCCGGTTGAGATATGAACATAGCCCCTCCCCCATACAAATAATCAGTGCTACGGCTTGGGCCATCTTGTTCGCTGTTTGCATACTGTCAACATTGGTACTCATACGAGCGTCCACAACATCATGAGAGCAGAAACTAAGAGGGATCAGTGAGAACTGTATACACAACAAGAACATAGATCAGGTGCAAAACCTTGTCGTATCGTGCAATGGAATGTAATGCCAAAATCGATAATTCCGGATGTAAGCGAAGCGCGACACGTCTTTTGTATTACTTCTCTTTTGAGTACACAGACAAAGGTTACAATAAAGAGAGCCGTCTTCTGGGATGTGGCGCCGTGCAGATAGTGTGTTAACCGACGTTTTGGAGGAACGTATCTTCTCCATCTTCAGGGTAGAAGAAAAAAGAAAATCCGAATTTCGCTGTTAGCTGGTCTGTCCGTTGCCGAAGGAATTCAACAATTCAGCCTCTGTTGGGTAGGCAGTTTCCTAGGTAGCATGCGTTCTCATTGCCCGTTGCGCAGCGTTGTGTGTCCTATAGTCCTGCTTTCAGGCAGCACGTCACAATATTTTCACTGATTCTGTAAGTAGTATTTATTGCTGCTAGACGAGTATACAGATGAGCAGGGAGCCTGAGTGTGCGGTAACCGATGACGTATTGTGGGCCCTCAAAAGGACCGTATTTCTAAGGCAGGGCGCGCCTGAGGAACGCCGGCGACACTCCGGCCGCAGCAGGCTAGCTCGTCGGTCTTCCTTGGTCGGTGGCAGGGTGACTGCGAGCCGGCTGGTCTACCTAGCGTCTGTGGCCGGGTAACTGCAAGCTGGCCGGTTTTCCGTGCGTCGGCTGGCTGGGGGCTCATGACCAAATGTTTTCTTCTTATATGAAAGTTGCTGTCCTGTCCATTTGGGGCGCCCTCTCTGACGAGAGGTCGGGTCTGTCATTTGTCAGTCGCAATATGTATTAGTAAATCCATTGTCAGTATTTACATATATTTACAATTTAATCTTAGCCTTAATTCCTACTTCTATGTACTATATATACAAGGCCTCTGTCAGTTCAGGCTCAGTACAGCAGATTATGTCCTATTTCTAGTAGTATTCGCTACCACGGCAGTCTAGTCACTTGAACGGTCGTATGCCTGACCGACGCCAAGTTCAAGCCTCTTATACTTTCTGTGTCGGGCTTCGCCTTGTCCGATGTTGCGAACATTCTCATTATCATGATTTTGTATGACTTCTGCTTGTTGCCTGCATAATTTTGTTATATAATCAAATACGCAAGGTATTTTGAATGTCATGTGCAAATTGCGAGTCGGTGTGCGCCTTGGAAAATTGCCAGTGGTGCGGAGAACCTTGTTTTGCAGGCGCTGCAATTTCACTAGATGAGTGTCTGCCGCAAACTCCCAGGCGGGACTAGCATAAGTCATTACGGATCTAATAAGAGCTTTATGGAGGGTCAGTTTAATGTTAGCGCTCAATCGCTCACTTTTGAATAGGGAATGTACTCTAACGAATTTTCTAAAGGCCTTTGCTTGGCTGTGTGCAATCTCCATGTAACTCTCTTATCGAAGATTACACCTAGATATTTTGCACTATTTACAAATGGAATATTTCGTCCATTTAGAGTAAGACAAGACTCAGGCGGTCGACGACTACGAGAGAAGTAGATCCCCTGAGTCTTATCTTCATTAATTTTGATATTCCAGCGTTCACACCAGGTCTCCATTGAGCTGAGACCGCGCTGGAGTTTTCTAACAATAAAACCCTCCTTGCGATCTGTCGCATACAGACGGGTGTCGTCTGCAAAGAGGGCCAGGTGAACGCCCTGTGTATGGGGGGCATCATTTATATACAAATTGAAAAAGAGTAGGGGAAGGACAGAACCTTGTGGCAACCCTGCTTGCATTTCCCTTGACGTTGACATTTCGCCTTCAACCGAAACCCTGAATTTACGTTGAGAAAGAAAGGACCCAATAAGCTTGGTCAAATTGTTCGAGAATTCCAATTTTGATAACTTATACAGCAAGCCTGAGTGTCACGTGGTATCAAAGGCTTTTTCGATGTCCAAGAACACCGCAGCCGTAGACATTTTATTGTTGAAATTAAGGGTCACGTGGTCCGCCAGCCTCATACATTACAATGTCGTGCTGTGACGTGCTCGAAAACCAAACTTGCTTGCGCTGAGCAGGCCTCTTTCTTCAATATGTTTTTGAAGTAATTTCAAAATTACTTTTTCGAATAGTTTTCCTGTCGTGGACAGGAGGCTGTTCGGACGTAAATATTGAGAGAATTTCGGGTCTTTGCCAGGTTCAGGTAAAGTTATTACTTTTGCTTCCTTCCAAGTATTTGGAAAATGAGAGAGCCAAAGAAAATGATTAAATAAATGAGTTAGGCAAACCAATGGTCGCCTTGGAAGGTGCCTGAGGCATTCATTTGTGATGCCGTCAATTCCACAGGCCTTTTTTAATTTCAGGGACTTTATTAATTTCTTTACGTCACATACCCACTATCGTGTTGGAGGTCCGCATTTTTATACGTTGTTGCCAGGCGGCATTCGGCCCAGTGGGTATTGTCGCTTCCATGGTGCGTGCTGAATGACTAGAGCGGACTAGAGTGGACTAGAGCTTGGTTCACTGTGGGAGTCTCTCCCCGTGGAGATGGTTGTTCAGATGTTGAAACGAATGGAGAAATGGATGTGGCGACCGGAGAGTATAGTTCGTGTGGCTAGCTGTAGCAGCATGGCAGGTGGTGCTACGGCCGGGGTTGGGTCAAGTCAATCAGAATGTAGGCCGGCTTCACCTTATCAGTTGATACGGTGGTGACAGGCCTGCCGTGCACCAGGAGTTGCAGTGTTTTCTCTCTCCGTGAAAGGACCTGGTAGGGTCTGGTGTAGGTAGCCTCCAAATCCAGACGAGTTCTGTTCTGCTGGAGGAAAACCTGCGAACACTTGTGAAGGTCATTTTGCATGAATGTAGCCGGGAGGCGTGGCATGCTGCAGGAAGCGGTCTGATGCGTGCCATGTGCCAGCTGATGAGGTGCGATGGTTCCACTGGGCCGGCTGTAGGAGTCAGTACATAGGCAGGGATTCTTAGGGGCTCACCGTATACGAGCTCAGTTACTGACACTTGCAGGTCCACTTTGAATGCCATGAGGATTCTGAGGATAACCAGGGGAAGCACTTCTGTCCAGTGTCAGTCCGCATGGCACATGATGGCTGCCTTTAGCGTCTGGTGGAAGCATTCCACTAGTCCATTAGATGCTGGGTGGTTCTCCGTGAGAGCTGAATGCCATACAGCTTGGCCAGGGAGTGGAAAAGTTGAGATTCAAACTGATGTTCCTTTTTGGTGGTGGTCTGCAGACAAACGAAGCGGCATATATAGCCAGTCAGGGCTCATGCCACGGTGTCGTCTGTGGTGTCCGGGTTGGTTACGACTTCCGGCCAGCAGGTGAAGTGGTCAACTGCAAGTGAGGCAGTGTGTGCAGCCAGCTGACGTCAGAAGGTCTGTGTAGACATGCAGGAAATGGGCTGCCGGCGGTGTATTGATAATTTTTAGTATTACTAGTAAATTCATGAGGGCACGCAGTAGCGTAGTTTGTTGAGGCACTATGCTACAAGCCAGAAGGTCACGGGTTCAAGTCCTGATGAGGTCATTGGATTTTTTTTTAATTTACCTAATCCTTCCAGCCACACTATGGCCCTGAGGTCGACTCAGCCCCTAACAAAAATGAGTACCAGGAATATTCTTGGAATATTCTTGGGGGTAAAGGGCGGCAGACACGTAGGGCTGACAACCTTGCCACCATCCATGAGCTGATTGTCTAGAAAATGTGGGAACCTCAACATCTCACAACCCAATGGGCCTCCACAGCCTGTTACAGGGATACCTTTACTTTTACTTTTTACTGGCAGATTCATATTCCCCTAGAAGTTACTGAAGTGGTGTATGCATAATAGAAATTGTGGGGTGTAACAAGTGCGTTGTAATGAGCACATGGTATATGAATGTAAAGTAGTTGGTGCATTGTGAAGTTATGAGTCTTGGGTGTGTAGTGGAGTGTGACTTGTATTGTTATTTGATGTTGAAGTTTTCCATACTGGAATTTTCCACTGTCTGCCATGATGTGAATGGTATGTGACTGGTTGGAGTGCCAGGAGTCACTTCCAAGCACCGAGCTCTTAACATGCTAATTTATGCTGCAAAACATAGAGATAAGTTATGACATGGGTACTCTCTTCTGGGATTTAACGCCTTGTAGTCCGTTGAAAGTCATCTGATGTTTCAGAAGAACACAGCACTCTTTAAAACCACCTCTGTGAGATAGTATAGTTCATAACCAACACTGTGAGAACCTCATATCCAATAGAATTGTAACTTTGGTGGATATTTTTGCCCATGTTTACTGAGCATTCTCGTCTGATCATGAGAATGTTCTATACCGTATTTTTGAATCCGCATTACAGTAAATTCACTAAGCGCCATGTATTTGACTGCTCTTGCAGCTGCCTTTGGAATTGGTAATCGCAAGTATGTTTAAATCTTTAAGAAGTTGCCCATATGACAAATATCAATACTGACTAATTAACTAACTCCATGGAGCTTTGTCCTCCATAAGAAGCTACCACTTGTGAAGCCACTCAAGGATTTCCCAACAATTTATGGAAACCGAAGGTTCATTATTGTGTTCACAAGATCCTTCGATCCTTCCACTTGTCCCTGTCCTGAGCCAGCTCAATCCAGTACATGCCACCCCATCCTGTCTCTCTAAGATCCATCTTAATAGTATCCTCCCACCAGTGTCCACTCAGGTCTTCCTAGTGGTCTGTTTCATTCCAGCTTTCCCATCAAAATCATATATGCATTCCTCTTTGCCCCCATGCCTACTACATGCCCTGTCCATCTCATCCTCCTTGATTGATCAATCGCATAACAACACACTACTGATTATTTGTATAACCTGCTTTTGTAAATTTAATCCTTTTACTTTTCGAGTCACCACACCAGAAAATTAAACCGTACCCTAAATAAACTTAAAAGTATGTAACGTAAGTAGTCCTTATACGAGTAATATGCGGGCTTGTTACATCCCTAAGGGATTTAATCATATAACAAAATTTACAGAATTTTGAGCTTAGTAACTTTACATCTGCATCCCATTTCTTATATTCAGCAATGTATATGCCCAAGATTTTCCCCCCTGATTTATAGGTTATCTTCATGTTGTCAAGTTTGACTTGAGGTTTCACGCCTATTATGGAATGGAATTGTTTTCACAGTATTAAGTACATGACTACTTATGAAAACCCATTAATCCTACTCTAGTCTTGGCAGTCTGAAAGCTTCTTTTGTCCTCAAAGATTTCTTTTATGTGCATTGTGCAGTCTTACTGTTTAACTTTAAATTTTAAAAACTACTTTTATCTCATTTCCTCCACTTGAAGAAGAGGAATGTTTCATGAACTGACCTGTTAATCAGTGCTAGGAAAGCAAATAAGCAAAATATCTAGCCATGAGTGAAGCAGAAATACTGAACATATTGATTTTGTATTAGAGATTTTGAAAATACTCTAATAATGAAGGTGCTATACTTTGTAAAGTGACATTTTTATGCAATAGTGGCTTGAATTGTATAAAATAGAGGTTATGTGCCCAGTTGTTTCAATCAAGGACATAGGGAGAACTATTCCTTGTATTTAATTGACATTTTGTATTTGAAGGTCTGCACTAAAAGTTGTCAGATTTTCAGTTTTGTGTGTGTCAGTCTAATATAATCCCAACGTTATGTTTTAAAAGACATTCCTCACTGAGTTGTATGACTTAAGGTATATACAAAAATCAGGACTGGATAAGAGTGAGCAAACTTTCAAATAATTGTTGATAGTGGAGAAACAAGTTTTTGCAACATAAGTTCCTTTCTGTAGCAATCATTACTTCTTGAGGGATTCAATCTATGTACCATAGATTTCCCGTGCTGGGATTTGATGTAATCTGCTTGTTTCTACAATTCTAGATGAGACTCCCACAACTGCAAAATAAAACATTATTGAATGAATATCCCAAGTTTTTTATGCAACAGCATTGTCTTAATTGCAGAAATTGCACTAGGTTAAATGGCTAGATGAATTTTGGAGGGGGGGAGGGAAATTGATGAAGACCTATTTTAAGGTATATCTCACTATTTGTCTCAAGGAAGTGAGGAACATATCATATTAGGTTGTCTGTGAGCATAGAGAGAAGTGTGGGACCTCTCAGTGTGAAACAGAAGTGCTGTGATATTGGAATAAAAAAGAGAAGACTTCTTATAAATCATAATAAATTGCCATTTTTATTATAACACATTGTTTAAAAAGTAGAACATAAAAGCAAGTTAAAAACTGATGACAATTTGTCATTGAAAATACCTTTGGTTGGAAATTCGTTGTGTAAGCTTCAAGCTGAAAAAATGTCTCACATATAGTTCATAAAATCCTAATGCAGCATTATGCTTCTTAAGCTAATACACTGGCTCAGAAAAACTCATTTCCAGAGTAAAATATGAATTTATGCCATCATATTTCATCAAAACACTGTAATGAATGACTTTTGACTAGATTACACCGTTGGATTTTTCTCACTGCAGGAGTTCATATTACTGTGTTATGCCCAAATAATATCCTATCCTATCCTATCGAAAGAGCTGATTAGCTCTATACATTTGGTTTTGACACAAGAAAATTTGTTGATTTGCACTTATTTCATTTATCTGTCACAACATACATAAACCAGAGTGGTTGTGGTGGAGTAAGAGTGCTAAAATTGGAATGCACAACCCCCTTTGTGGAACTTCCTTGTTTTAATTTTGGTCTAGATATGATGTGTCACAAGCCATTTTTATTCAGTAAAGTTAAAGTGTGATCTCTTGTAAGGATCCCCATGTGTCTCCAATCTTCATTTTAACTGGAAGTCGCACAGCAAGAGAAACGGCATTCTCCAGGGCAGTTTGTATTCTCTGTGCCACTTCCTTTGCACCTTCACGGCATACCTTAAACCACATCGAGAAGAAAACACTATATAGGACGTAAATAGCATTAATCTTTTCTGACGAACCTTAGCATCACATATCTTGGTTTCTTATAATAGGCCACAGAGGACTTCGATGCCAAAGAAACAGAACACCACTGCTACTACCACCACCACCACCACCACCACCACCACTATACTACATAGCATTTGACACACCAACAGTGGGAGCTAATTTGATATTATTACTATGGCAATGGTAGGCTTCATAATTACGCAACATGACTTCATCTACTGCTGTGTTAACATAGACAACAACCATTTCATAACCACTTGCAACCTCCAAGAACACCACCGAACAAGTTAGTCTATAGGTAACTCTCTAGGCTTGTCTTTTGGATATGCTCGGTTCTAATCTTGGCTGGGACACAAGCTGAGGCTGAGGTTTCATGGTTTCACTCAGTTTCTCCAGGCAAATGCCAGGATAGTACCTCAACTAGGTCATGACCACTTCTTTCCAAATCCTTTTCAGTTCATCATCATGCCATCCAGCACTATAAGATCTCACTACCGAAAGCATCATTATATAACGCTGAAAAAAATCAACACCACCACTACTTCCACAACAACACAATCAAAATAATTGGTGGTACCACGTTCCTTTGCAGCAATAGCATCTCCACCACTACTGCAGACATACCCATCACCAAAAGCACCAGCTCCAGCATCCCCTAGTAGCAGTGCATTGATTACTATTACCTCAAGTTTCAACTTTATTTTCATCCATAACTGAAGTGAATACAATTGGACATGTCAAAAAAGAACAGCGAATACATCATATATAAAAGTCACATAAAAATTACACAATGATCTATCATGATAATATAACAATCGTTATAAGGTACATAACAATAAAAGATGCATAAGACCAAAAGAAAAATGTCAATAATATAAAACACATAAACACAATAATAAAAATTGCAAACCAAAACAATCAACCAATCAACAAACTAGTCATCAATCAACATTAGTTGAAAAACTCTTGAAGAGAGTAGAAAGTGCTGGACAGCAAATCATTTTTGAGTTTCCTCTTAAAAACATTAAAATTGTCAACATTTTTCAGTTCAAGGGGAAGACCATTAAATATTTTAGTTTCCATATTGATTACACTTTTTTTTTTTTGCAACGATCAGTATTACAAAATTGGACATACAAATTATGTTAATGTATGGTATTGTAGCTGTGAATGTCAGAATACTGAGTTGTATACATCTTGTTCTTTATTATAAAAATAAAATCTCAAATTTATATAATGAGGTAACAGTTAAAATCTTAAATTCATCAAACATATTTCTACAGGATACTTTATTATTAACACCTTTAATCACTCCTAGACATTTTTTCTGTACTTTAAATATAGTTTCAGAGTCCTTAAGCCCCCCACACCAAAAAATAATACCATATTTCAATATAGATTCAAACTAAGTAAAATAAACATTTCTTAATACAGGTATGCTAACTGAGTCACATAAGGAGCCTGATCCACCACAGCATTGCCATTGCCCTAGGGCTTGAAATGGAGGTAGGTGTCATCTGCTTAGTTCTAGAGCGATTCACTTGATGGAAGCTATTTCCATTGTCTTAAGACATTATAGATGTTGCTCCCAGCAGCGATACATGTAAGAACAAATTCATGAACCCTCATTTTAATAATTTCCTTTTCATATGTATTTGTCATTCCTGAAGGCTTCTCTCCTCTGGAGCATCTACCCAGTTCTCAAATGCCATTTCCATCCCTGTATTAGCCCCACTAGTCACCTACAGGAGAATTAGCAAGGAGTAGGGTGGGTGCCACTCCATAAATATCCAACATCACAGTATATATATAGACACACACACACACACACAGAGAAGGAAAATGGGGGAAGAACAGTAGAAGAGTCCTTGGCAGATATGGATCTGTGATGAAGGGTTCTAACTTCACATTCATTGAAGAAAGCAGACTTCTGGGATTTGGCACCGTGTATATGCGGTGTTAACCGACGTTTCGGAGGAACGTATCGCCTCCATCTTCAGGGTAGAAGAAAAATTATAAGAAATCCGCAAGCGAAGAGACCATGAGAACCGGTAAAAGCAGGCCACCACATATACATGGTGCCAAATCCCAGAAGACTGCTTTCTTCATAGTCACCGCCATGAAAGCCTAAAATCTTCACATTCATTGTCTGTATCTGCTGACCAATTTAAACCTATGTGTGCTTACCTCATACAGCAGTTCATCATGCAAGTGCAAGGCAAGACTGGCAACAGGATTCAGTGAGGTGTATCCCATATTCCGCAGCTGTGACTGAACCAGAACCATGCCTTTCTTGGCTATATCAGCTGCTGATCCCTGAACAGTTGAGTTGATGGCTTGTCTTTCAGCTTGTGCTATAATCACAAACAAAGGGAAACTTCTAATTTATATCTCTTTTCATGACAAAATAATTAAGTTTATTCTTATATTATGCATATCAAAATGAGGGTCAGTACTTTTATTTATACAGGGTGTCCCAGGAGGAATGTGCCAAACTTCGGAAGGTGTTCCTTATGTTAAAGTATGCCGATATATCCCAAAACACCTATGTCCAAAGTTGAACGGTTACGGAGATAATGGCCAGAGAAGTGTGAAACTTTGACAGGTGTTACACACTTATTGATTACCAAATACATATTAAAACTGGCAGGAACATGTGGTTTCTGTAATGTTAATAATGTACGTAACATCAAACTAACTTGTAAGTGATATGAAGCCATTAAATTGAACTACAAAGAAACTTGTACGCCATGTCATATTTGTCCTTAGGGTTCCAAGCACTATACATGACACATGACTGGCAAGCGCCGACGTAACATGGCGCATACTGGTATAAGCCGACTACATAACTGTATTAAACATACATTCACAGAAAATCTCTTTTGGAATTTCGTTTCCATTATCTCATGCGGATTACTATGGGACCACGTATGCACATTTCGTAAATTATTTACACCGTCCAGGGTAAAAGACGCCTCATCACTGAATAAAATGACACTTAACAGTTCGGGATGAGCTTTTATCCACTGGCACAAATCCATACGCTGTGCATGGTTGCCTGGTTCCAGATATTGTACCCTTTGATCATGGTAAGGATATAACTCTTCATCATGTAAAGTTCGCCACACCTGCATACGTGATACACCGATGCGAGAGGCCATTCTACGAGTGGACAGACGTGGACTTCTCTGAACCATCTCAAGAATGTTCTCTC